TCCTGCGCCCTAACGACCAGGCCCTCAAGTCCGGATACCCCCTCGTCTACCCCACCCACCCTTTGCACAGCGTCCACTCCTCGCTGACCGGCGCCACGCCGCCCTCGCTGGCCGGCCACCCTTTGTACCCCTACGGCTTCATGCTCCCCAACGACCCCCAGCCGCACATCTGCAACTGGGTGTCGGCCAACGGACCCTGCGACAAGCGCTTTGCCACCTCGGAGGAGCTGCTTAGCCACTTGCGGACCCATACTGCCTTCCCTGGCACCGATAAACTCCTCTCCAGCTACCCCAGCTCCTCGTCGCTGGCCAGCGCGGCGGCCGCAGCCATGGCATGCCACATGCACATCCCCACGACGGGCGCCCCGGGCAGCCCGGGCACGCTGGCCCTGCGCAGCCCACACCACGCGCTGGGACTCGGCAGCCGCTACCACCCTTATTCCAAGAGCCCGCTGCCCACCCCCGGGGCCCCCGTGCCCGTGCCCGCTGCCACCGGACCCTACTATTCCCCTTACGCACTCTATGGGCAGAGACTCACCACAGCCTCGGCCCTGGGGTACCAGTGAGCACAGGCAGCGGGGCTTTGACACACAACACAACACAGTCTAGCGGTAAGGGAAGGAAGCCCTGCGAAACTTTATAAAAGTTGGAAAGAAAAAAAAAAATCTGACTTTTTATAAAATAGTGTTCATTTGAGGACTGGATCCATGAGCACTGTATTTATTTATGTTAGCTTCAAGCGGGACAACGAATCATAAAGTGCATTACTTAACTGAGCTCAATAGGTAAAAGTGGAACACCCATTGTAGAATATAAATAAAAAGATAGAGGTCTTCTCTTTAATGTTACTTTAAAATTGCTATGATTGTATTGTACGTTCTTATTTAATGTCTCATTGAAACAAAAAAAATTTACATGCATGTTTGTTACTAAAAAACAACTCGCAATTTGTCAATTATAATTTCAAATTGCAATTATTTTTAAGGTGTATACCCTTGAAAGAGAATTGGTATTTTTTTGTATGTATTCTGGAAGAAAAACAAAAACAGTTCTATTCCAAAAACCTCATTTGCCTTATTTTGTTCTTTAAAAGGAACACTTAACTATTTTTAATTTTTAAGTCCACCCTGTGAAAAGGGTTAAGTAAGGTTTACGTCATGTACTAAAATAGACAATGTATCGCTTTAAAGATTAAAATTCCGTATATTTGATGTATTAAAAGGTTTTACCTTTTTTTTTTTTTTTGAATACGCTTTGATTCTGTTATAAAACCCGAGTAGGTCTTGGATGGAGGCAACTGCTAATTTCTCCTTAAGCGTTTATTCAATTTTAATTAAAAATTAAAAAAAAACAACCCAAAGTTTTTTTTTATTGTAACCCCAGGGCTCTCTTAAAAAATAATCAGACAGAGTTGGGTTTTTTCCCTCTTCAGTAGAATTTGTTGGCACAAAATAGGAAAACTGAGAATCACTTAAATCTCTTTCCCTTTCTTAAAGCAGATAAACTTTTTTTTTAGAAATGTTTTTACTGTGAAAAATCTGATTTTTAAAACTAGTTTTCAATTAATTCTTTAGAAAGAAACAGGGAAGGCAAGACTGATTTGTAAAAGTGTAAGACGATTATCCGAAAGCTATTTTTTTACAATGTAATGCATTCATCTCTTTCTAAATGAGAAGTTCAGAAGCAATTAGGGAAGCACTGTTTGAGCTCATCCAGTTATTTTCAATTTCTCTCTTCAGTTCGCACCGCAGCACAAACGATCATCACCTTAAAAAAAAATCGGACGGCTCTGAAAACTCATTTTCTTTTAAAAAAAGGAAGGGACAGGGAAAAAAAAAAAAAGAAGCCATCCGTTATTTGGTCCGAGTTTGCTCTTTACTGAAGTACAGTGCCAAACTCGACGTGTTACCGAGAGGGGCTGCCCCTGCCTGCGCCGCGTCCCTGCCTCCCCAACCAGGCTTCCTTGCGCCTAAGGGCCACCGCCCGGCTCCGGCTCGTCGTCCTGCATTCAGGTAGGAGCGGGGGCTGCGACGGCAAAGCCAGAGCAGCTACCGAAACTGCGGAACAAACCGTTGCAGCCGGGATAGTGGGAAAAGCGATCCCCAAGTTCGTAAAAGCGATGCCAGCGAGGGGCTTTGCCCCGCGGGGTGCCAGGCGCTCGCAGGCAGGGGCTCAGGCGGAGCTGGGTCTCCGCTGCCCCTCACTCAGCCCCTCTCCCCCCGCTGCCGCCTGCCCTCGCCCTGGCCCCAGCGCGAACCGCTGGTGAGGAGTAAAGTTGCAAGCGGCGACTTGGCTTGACAAATCACTGGGTTTTCTCCCTCGTTCTGGATCCCCCCCCACAATATAATTACTGTTCAAAGTTTCCCGTGGTGCCCAGATGCTAATTAGTCTAATACATTTACTCCAGATAATTAGTGGAAGTTAGCGTTAATGTGCGAAGGCGAGAAAAGCAGCAAGCTAATGGAGCTCCAGCGCTCGCCCGGCCGTCCCGGCACGGCGCGACTGCTGAGGCTGGGCCGGGCCGGGCCCGGGACCGCGGCGGGGGCCGGGATGCTCGTGGGGACTCCGGATGCTGGGCCGCGCTGCGGCTCTTTTGGGACGCTGTCCGAAAGCGGCACGGGAAATGCTTTGTGCTTTAACCAAATGTATTTCCCCCCCGCGGCCTTAAATGGAAAAGGGACCATTGCGAATCTCTGCTTTAGGGAATGTAAAACGAGCTCTCGCTATGAACTGATGAGTTAGAGAAGGGGAGGAGAGGGCAATGCTGTTAACTGCACCAAGTAAACTTCAGTAATATAATAGAAAGCGGATACAAATACAGCAAGTAATCGAAAGAAAGGCTTCTCGGGTCGGGGGTGATGGTTGTAGAGGATTCATCCAGCGAGTCCGAGAAAGGCAGAACAAGCTCGCAGTCCTCTCCCTACGCCGCACGCCCCCCGCTCTCTCCTGCATCCCGGCCAGACTGCCCTCCCCGCTTCGCTATTTTAACTACTCTTAATTCGAAGAAAATTACATTTCAGGCTCCATCTGGGTGTGCGAGCAACAATTACAGATTTGCCGCGATTAAAACACACCACTATCGCCATGCTCCTCTCCTATTCATGTATTTTACAATTACAGATCTCTAACAGCTGCAGCTCAGACTTCGCTAACCAAACCCCATCGGCTATCAGGTGCTGCAGGGACGATTTTGAAAAGAGTGAGAGAGGCATTTCTGTGTCCTGGAACCTAACTGCAGTTTTGTGGATTTCAGTTCTTAAAAGTTATACACAAAGATTGCTGATGCAAGTGATGAAATGAACGCTTAATGTTGTTATTACTGTTTTGCTCAGATACTGTCCCGGAGATTTAAGAAAAATTAAAATATCTTATTTTATATGTAGAGTGGTGGTAAGGAGGTCTCTCTTACAGGCTTGTTAAGTATTTGACTTGGCAAGTGCCACCTAGAATTTTGATATTAGTATAGGAAATTCGCCTTTTTTTCTAATAGAGATTGACTTATGGACATTAATGTTTTTAGGTAAAAGGACTGCATTTGTTATTCCTCCCCCCCCTCCCCGTTCTTACTAACTGGATGGGTTGTGGATTTGACAGCAGCCGCTGGTCCATGCCACCGAACTAAAATAATTTCACAGTGAAAAACCAGCTCGAGAGGACAAGCAACAGAAGGGCAAAACCCATCAAAACCCGAAACTGTGATCAATCTGACCAGAGTCAGGCATACATTAGTTTAAATTAAACAGTTTCATCTTTCTCACAAATCTTTTTTGAACATTAAAGATAAACTCATGTAATATTTAAATCAACTCTTGTCAGATGCTAAGTGCAAATGAAGAACCAAAATAAAAATTAATGCAGTTCCATCCCCTCTCAAAAGCTTACTCTGGATGCCACTTCGACAAAATACTTCTGATAACCAACGCTTAGAAAAGAAGTGTCCTGTTTATCTTATCTATGGGAAAATGTAATTAAGGTAGTTTTATGAAACAATAAAACACCAGACTCCACAGACAGCAAAGGAGTCTCTGTAATATATCTGAACCTATATGGGCATATGGATCTTGGCTTACGCATACGAGCCCACACCAAAAATGTGCATATACGTTTGCTCGCCTGATTTTAGAGTGCAAAATATATGCTAGTGCTAAATTACAGGGATGCCTTTAATACGCGAAGATTTTCCTCAGCGATAAGAGACTCCATTTTCTAAGACCAGAAAGGCACCCACTGCCCATCCACTTCCTTTGAAGCCACCCTCAGCGCAGCCAGAAAAGTACGCGCAATGTGGTGACTGCAGCTGACTCTCTTCTCTCTAATCCGAGGTTTGTAATGATCTGCCCACACCTACAGCTGAAATCACCCAGCCAGCGGGAATCCTGGAAGGCCCAAACTTTCTGAAACAAAAGTAAACGTGCATTCCTATTCTGTATTCATTGATCAAACTTCATTCTTCCATACTTAGAAAAGACAGAGAGCAATGCTGCCTTGTTTTAACACTGTTGGCTCTCACACTAGTCTTTCAGTAGAGCACAGTTTAGGGGGTTTTTTTATGTTTAGTTTAGTTTGTATGTTTGGTTTTTTATTTTGTTGGGTTTGGGGGTTTTTAAAGTAATAAATTTAAAGTGGAAAATTGCTGGAGTTATCAGCATCAAATCTCCTTTCCATAAAGATTTTTGAGTGTAATTTCGGACTTTCCTAACCCCATGCTGAGACACCCCACCACCCCCGATTCTTTTTGCACCATGAAGCATAGCCCGCATTGCTTCACGAACAGACCTGAGGCAGGCAAGCAAACAGTCTGATCAGAGGTGTCTAATCCCTGCTAAATCTCTTTCTCAGCTCACTCCTAGAAAATTCGGGGCAGACTACTTTTTTTTTTTTTTAAGGTAAAATTTTGTTGCGATGAAGAGCAGAGGTGTTGGAAGAAAAAAGACGGACCCTGAGTCTGTATGCTCTCACCTCTCTGGAGGTGGAATGCTTTGGCAGCAGAGATGCGGTTGAAATTTGAGCAGATTATACATTTGAGCTTGTGCATAAATGCGAAAAGACTGTCCTAATGCTGGATATTTCTCCATCAACATGAACCAGGTGCTGCTGCTGCTGCAAAAATCCCACCTCCGGCCACTTGCTCTGCGCGTGTGTGCGCGCACAGCGATGCACAGACTTTGTTCTCTCTTCATGTCTGAAATTCATCAACTGCTCCCCACTCTCAAGCCCCCCCGTCCCCTACGTGAAAAAAAAAAAAAAGGGGAATCCGTTCAGCTTTGAATATTGTCAGAAGCCTTGTGTGTATTTTTTTTAAATCTTCAAATGAATTAAAGACAACCTGACAATGCTGTCATCTGTCTTCAACGTCACATCAAGGCAAGAAATAATGATAACAGAGCAGCAGAAAGACGCCCACTGAAACCTGGAGGATATATATACACATATATATACACACACATATATGCCTCGAAACAGTTTGAAAGAGAACAAAATTAGATTACCGCTCTAAGGCTATCGCAGTAAGAACGTGTGGGATTTTTTTTTTTTTTTTTTTTGCTATGTGTGTAAGTGCTTCATCTCTCCTGCCTTATTTTGTGAAGCGCGTGCTACTCGATCCAAACCACTTCTGTGGGATGGGACAAGACGACGAGCAGGCACATTCCTCGCTCCCAAACTACCACGACCAGTGGAAGCACGAAAAATACCTCCCCTCCCCCTCCACCGCTTCAGGTTCACGTTCCAGTTAATAACAAACGTTACTGCTCTCCCGAGGCGCGGGCCAGAGCGGGCACGCTCCGCGCGGAGGCCCAGGCGGGCGCGCTGCGCAGCCCCCCGGAGGGAGAGGAGCTGCTCCCGGGAGGAGGGAGAGGGGAGCGGGGCTGCTCCCCTTTGTCCCCGGGCTCGGCAGGTCGGGGCGCGCTCACGGCCGCGCCAGGCGGCGCTTGCCGCCCCCGGCGGAGCGCGGGGCAGCGGGAGCGCGCGGGAAGCGGCCGCGCGGCGGAGCGCGCCGGCCCGGCCCGGGACCCGGCGGGCATCGCTGGGCCGGGGCACGGGGAATCTCCCATCTAATCCCCAGAGAAGCATCGCAGTACGGATGGATTTATCCAGATAAAAACAGATAGGCCGGACCGAAAAAAACACGTGGTGGAGTTGGTTGGGTTTGTTGGTGTTTTGTTGTTGGTTTTTTTCTTCTTTTCTTTTTTTTTTTTTTTTTAATCACGCTTGTAATCTCA